GCGCCAGAGGCTTCGGAAGGCGCTCACCAGCCTGGCTAGCGGTGTTGTTCCTGCTCTGCCGGAGCTCTGCCGTGCTCAGGGCCCAACCGAGCACCGCGGATGGGGAGACACGCCCCAGGCTCCACGCCGCACCCCGTGCCTCCCACCCTCCAAGGCCCCAGGGCAGAACTGCATCTCTGTCCCGACAAGCACCTCTTGCCTGCCCAGCACCAACCCCAGGGTCTGCACCCAACCCAGTAACGCCCACCCTTCACCCCCACGCAGCCACAACAGCCCCTCGCTCACCATTTCCCACCTCATCTTGAGCACAGCCAGTGGGGCCCCGAGCGAGGAGCACTGCTCCTGGCTCCACTCCCAGCTCCCCTCCTCCTTCGAGAGGTAGTAGCAGACCTTGTGGTACCCAACCCAGCCATCAGGACAGGCCAGCACCAGAGCCGCAGGCAGATCCGGACTCCCTTCATGCCTTCCTGCTGGAAAGGGAAGGGAAGAAGGGGAGAAGGTCAGAGGATTCCGCTCCACAGGGAGCGGGGGACACAGCTCCGTGGGGCAGGGAAGGAGGCAGCCCCGGGCTCCCCCCACGGGGATTCCCAATTTGCTGCCAGGGACCTACAGGGAGCAGACACCCCAGGGGTTAACAGCCTGCCCCACGGCACGGGTGGGGGTGTCCCTGCTCCTCCCCAGGACCCCCAGGGACAGGGCAAGGGCACAGCCAGCCTGAGGCACTGGCCCCACCAGCCTCACACACCAACGCCTGCCCCAGCCCGGAGGGGAAGGGGCCGCATCCAGCCTGGCACCGCACGGGCTGGGCTGCCAGTGGCACACACAGCCCTGCTCTGAGGGGCCACATAGAGGCAGCCGCTCCTCCCTTACCTGATAGCACAGCAACAGCCGCGGCCAAAGCCAGGACCAGAGCCACAAGCACAGCCAGCACCAGGGCGCACACCACATGGAGTGTGTACCGCTTGCCTGGAAGAGGAAAAAGCCACTCGCAGTGAGGATGGTGCTGTCCCAGAGCAGGCATGGCCCTGGCGTCCCCGCCACCCCCAACACGAGCTGCCCAGGGAACGTGGAAGGGACCCCCAGAGGACAGCCCACAGCAGGAGAGCTGCCAGATGGATGGAGATGTGGTGGGGGGCTGCTACAGACCACCCGATGAGGACCGAGCAGAAGACAAAGCCTTTCCAGACAGCTAGAAGAAGCCTCACGCTTCCCAGTCCTCGTGGGGTGACACTGCCACAGGGACACTGTCCCCTCCCTACAGGCCACAGGGGTGGCCCTGCACTCACCCAGAAGTCTTCTGCGTGTCCTTTTGCCTGTATCCCCCAGGTACCCCTGGGTGCCAGGATGCCCCTCCGTCGTGGGGACCCAGGGGCTCCTCCACATTCCCAGCATCGGAGCAGAATCCATTCCCCTCCCCTTGTCCCATGGCGCACTGGAAAGTGGAATCTCTTTGCTTGCAACAAGCAGGATCTTGCGCCCAAGGCATCACAACTGCTGGCAAAGCCTGCTTCAAGCAGGCGTGGATGCAGTTTTACCACCACAGCTGTTAGCATCGTAATGGGAGACCGCAGAGAACATGATGAGAACGCAATAGATTGGGACATTACATTCTGTTGCCTCACAGCTGTCACGCTTGATTTAAAATATCAGCCGTGGCCCTGTGGTGACACGCAGGCTCAGGAAGGTGATGCCAGCACAGTCCTGCCCTGTCCCTGCTCCCCCTGTGAGGCTGCAGCCCACCCCCAGCACCCAGACAGCACCTGGGGAGACAAACGCAGTGTCGGTGAGCTCAGGGACCGGCCCTTGGCCCCCCGCAGAACCAGCACCCTCCACACCCCCCTGCACGCACCCTTCCCAGATAGACCGCAAGGCACTCGCTGGCTGGGAGGATCCCCCTTCCCACCACTCAGCC